TTTACATTTTTTTCATTCTTAGGAATGTCTAAATTCAGTTAAACTAGCAATTCCGTATAATATTTATAAATCTTTATAACATTATACAAAAATTAGATTTTTCTTAAAAACTGAAATTTTGCAGGGAATGGGGCTTTAACTACACATCAGCAGTACAGCAGTATGGATACGATGAATAACTATTGTGTTAGAAAGAACTTGTTTGTAATGCTATTTTGATAGACTTTCGTCAAAGAAATAAACATTTCAACATTCGAGATAAGAGAGAATACAGTCACTGACGTCCTTTTTGGTCGGTGCATGCAGACAGGTAAATACGTGCGATGATTTCATAACTAGGCTAGACTACAGCCTAGTAGTAGTAGAAGGAGGCCCGGGCGGCCTCCTGCCTGTCCGTAGGCCTACATTTAAATTTATTCCTTGAGTCTTTAAAATAGGTCTAGAATATCCCTATAACACGTTCTTTGTTGTGTTTATGAGGGTCCATTGATTTAATTCCTTAATTGTTCATACCTAATATTGAATTTGAAGTAACTTTCTTCGGTTTCTAATTAAGCTTGTTTTACGAAAGTAATTTTCAATTTAATTCAATTTTATCGCGGTGCGCGATGTATTTGCGGTGACAAAAAAATGAGAAATTTTTTATGCACACAAACCTAAAAATAATCAAGCCAAGCGTCCACTAATAGAAAAATTAGTGGACGCTGGGGAATAGGCAAACAACATTTGGAGTTACAATGATGACGTCACGATTGACTTATAATAATAATTATACATATATTATTCCAGACCTTTTTTGTCATTGAACAAATAAAAGTGTTATATTCTTTGGTTTTAAAAATTCTTGAGGTTACAGGTTTGATTTGTACCCAAATCACTTGCAGATTTGCAATTAACAACAAATAAAATACTTACTTTATTATGGCATTAATGGTCTCATGTTCCACGGTAACGGATTTGAAATCACCATTTAAAAGTACATGGTCCAAAGAACATAACAACCCATGCAGCTACAAGATTAGGATGAAAAAAACAAAATTTACTATAAGCCAGATGAAAATCTGAAGAAAGCCAGATGAAAATCTGAAGAAAGCCACCCCTGTCAAAAGCCACCCAACAATGGACTATATCATTGTAAGGTGGGGTGCAAAATGGGTTGTTTGTCTTGATGTTGCTCTACAATAGGTTTAGGATGCCTAGAGTTTTTGTATCACAATTCTATTTTTATTCTTTTGTGTATTATAAATTAGAAACTGGGTGTAGCCTAGCTAGGCATAAACATTTAGTTCTCCAAATGCAAAACATCGTAGCTCCTCTTAATTGTGCAATTGAGTTTTTTTTTGTTTTTAACATACTGTACTGTACTTTCATTACTATAGATATATACTATATTAATAGTTATTTTATCAGGTTTTGTGATACTTGTATTATAAAGCAATTACTATATTTTATTTCTCGCTTTCTTTTATCCTATATAATAAATGTTATGTATCTTTAACATTACTATTGATATACTGTATACTGTATTAATATTATTTTATCAGGTTGTGTGATACTGTACTTTAGAAATGCAATTACTGTATTTTCTTTTTCAGTGATATTTCACTTATATGCTTTCTTCTTTCAATCTGTAGATGACGATGTAAGGTCGAGCGTTCGGGAAAATTGTAGTTTATACTATATAGGCCTAGGTAAAAAATTGCCGAGGCTGCCGACCTCAGAGAATTTCAGGTCGGCAAATTTTTGCCGACCTATTTTTTTCCAAATTTCATGGGCTGAGGTAACTACTATTTATGATTGTGGTACAAAAAAGTAATACTGTACCTCTCAATCATAATTTTACCATGACTTGCCGAAAACGCGTGCTACAGTTTGTAGAAATTCAATTTGTCTGGTCATATATCATAAAGGCTTTCCTTACTTTATTATTACCATTACTATAATTAATATCATTATTATATTAATATGGTTAATGGTTAATGGTTATTAATTTATAGAGCGCAAAATACAAAAAGTCTCTGCGCTATCAGGCAAGTGTAAAGATGGAACGGAAACCAAAACCACAAAATAAAAAGAAGTGAAATATCCAATTTTTATTGGGAGTTTCTTAAATTACTTTTTTCTTTTGTGATATCACTGTAGTATTATTGTGATATTTTGTGATATTTGTATTTTAAAATGCAATCTCTATTCTTTTTCTGGCCAATAACAAACCTTGAATTAATTTTTGTTGATAGCAAAATGTAATAAAAGTGAGAACAATGAAATAAAACTAAGGAATCAGAGAGTAGTGACAATTACTTCACTTTTAATTTACAGGTATTTTTTTGTTAATTGTTGTCAGACTTTCAACATTATTTTGCATTAAAATTATTGTTGTTGGTGGTTTGTTTTTGTTCTAATTATTAATTATTAAGAATAATAAGGGTAATAATATTTTTTTTTATGGCATTATTGTTGTAATGATGATTATAATATTCTACTGGGGTTTTTTTTTTTGCTACATTTGTTATCTTTATTTATTTTATTATTATTATTATTATTATTATTATTATTATTATTATTATTATTATTATTATTATTATTACTGTGATAGATTATTATTGTGATAGATTATTTACTTTATCATTATTATTGTTTGTTTAATTTTCAGTGATAATGATTCATCGGTGGCAATTTTTCATCTGCTCTATTTTCATTCATTATTTTTATTATTATTATTTTGCCATTTTTAACAATTATTTTTACTGTATTTATTATTTTTACCTTTTTTATTACTAATATTTTATTAATTTTTATGGTGATTATAATATAATAGGCCTATAATCTTATCTACCATGAAAAAATTATTTTAAATGTTTTCATTAATTTTGATTACGTTCATCAATCAAAATTATGTATATGCTATATTTTCATGTTTAAAAAAATCTCTGCATAAAAAAAATTTTGCCTCAAACTTTTATTATGTTTATTGTCTTTATTATTTTTATCGTTTTGTATTTTTAATTCTATATAGATTTATCGTGAAAATTTTCATTGGCAATTTCTATTTTATAAAGGAGCTGGTCCTTGTAAAGGTGTTCGTCACACGTTGGCCTGTCTTCTTCACCTGTATTTTTATAAGTAAGAAGTTTATTAAATAAAAAAAATATTTAAAAAAAAGAAGTTATTAAGGTTACAAATTTTCAATTCATAATACACACTAGATACTTTAAAGAATAATATGGTATTGTGATATTATTTAGTTATAAGAGGAAATAAAAAATAATGATAATATGGTAGCACATGATACTGGATAAATGATAATTGTTACCTGGAAAAAAAAACACATTTCTAGAAACCACGCAAATGCATAATTAAGAGACGCGATTATGTTTTGCATTTGGAGTACTAAATGTTTATGCCTAGCTAGGCTACACCCAGTCTGTAACTTATAATACTCAAAAGAATAAAATAATAGTTGTGATACAAAAATTCTTGGCATCCTAAACCTATTGTAGAGCAACATCAAGACAAACAACCCATTGTGCACTCCACCTTACAATAGTATAGTCCATTGTTGGGTGGCTTTTGACAGGAGTGGCCTATTTCCTCCTTGCACAACTTTTTTTCTCAAGTTTTTGGGAACGTACTGAGTAATCAGTACAATAACACGTCAAGTAGGGAAAAAAATCACTCCAAGTTAACATAAACTTAATTGATATATATTGTAATTATATAAAATAAATATAAATGAACATTAACTTACATGGGGTTTGACATGGCGGACAGAAAATCTCTGCTTAGCGATACACCAAAGCGCACGTGTGCAGGTCCCCTTATCACTTGTTTTTAACAACACATTCTGTAGGGCTTCAAATGACAACAGAAAAGAAGTTTATTCAAGTGCTGAATGGAACTAGATATTTTCTAATACTAACATTATTGACAAGAAAGTATAATACATACTCCAAGTATTGAAATACACGCCATCGTGTTGGGATTCAATATTTCGACATTAATTATGTCATCATCAGGAATGAGTATAATACATACTCCAAGTATTGAAATACACGCCATCGTGTTGGGATTCAATATTTCGACATTAATTATGTCATCATCAGGAATGAATCATTCCTGATGATGACATAATTAATGTCGAAATATTGAATCTCAACACGATGGCATGTATTTCAATACTTGGAGTATGTATTATACTTTCTTATCTGAGATTAATCAGTGGACCTTTCGGTTTTAACATTATTGACAGTTCACAAAATTGGTCTACACTATTGTTTAAAGAAGCATTTGCTATATGTAGGCTACACCCATTACAATGGGCTGAAAGCTTCAAAGGAGCTTTCTTTGTTTTTGTAGGGAGCTTTGATCAGTAGGGTAAGAATGCTTTGATCTTTAGTTTATTCATAACTATGTCACCTACTAGGGATAATGTTTTGATTGGTCAAACACTTGTGGTACTTGTGCATATAAGCTTGCAAATATGGATAATTTTTCATTCCTGATGACATAATTAATGTTGAAATATTGAATCCCAACATGATGGCGTGCAATTCGATACTTGGAGTATGTATTATACTATCTAATCTGGAACTAGATAGTTTCATAAAAATTGCTGAATAAATTATTAAGTTACAATTCAATTTTATACTTTTCAGAAGTGACCAATTCAAATTTTAAATTTTAACTTTTGCCTCAAAGATAGACTGCCTGCATTGTTTTTGAGTGTCAAATCTAAATAAAAAAAAATTAATATGTACCTTTGAGGAGAATATCAATATCAGATTCTGATAGGATGCTGACAATTTCTTCATGATAGACACAAAAGCCAACAGCTTGCAATGCAGCCTGGGAAATGTCAGGCGTTAAGCTCATCACATCAATGCAGAAGGTATTAACAAGTCTTGACCCACTCTGATTGAATTCTGTTAGAAATGCTTGGAAATTGTCTTTGTATAATTTCCTGTTGACATTTAAAAAAAAATGGTTTAATAAGTGATTGTTTCATAGATTGAAGTAAAGCTGTATGTTGATGATTAAGATCCTTGCTTTATCTCAGGGTCCTCGGTTCAAATCTAATAAAATTCTAGGATTTTTCCCACAACTAAAACAATATCCCATGCGATAGTACCACAGACAATAAAGGGACTGGACCCCTACATATTTATAGGTATTATGAGAAGCCATTTGTAATGAGCAGATGAAGCAAAACACATCATAATACGTCTTAACCCATTTATTTCTATAAGCGCTTGCTAATTATCATCATCAATTAATTAATTAACAATAATTTAAAAAAATCGTATGTGCAGTAATGTGTGCATGTATTTTCATTAAATATTAGAGAAAATATCAAAAATTTTTATAAAAAAATGTTCCTTCGTGCTTTTTAAATTAATTTGAATGATTAGCGTAAATAAAAATATGATCATTATTTTTGTAATATGATGCTTTTAAACGGGAAGCGCCGCCATCAACACTGATGAATAAAATCGTCTAAAAATACACCTTTTCTCAGAAAATAGCAATTCTGACACTTTCCTACAATAAATATATATTCAATATACATACTGTACCAGTTTTGGTTATTATATCCTCGTATTTCCACGTAAAATTAATTTTTTTTGTGGTTGAAAAAAAGAGCGTGGCTATCAACTTTGCCAGCGCCATCTTGGTTGTTTACAAAAATGAAAACGAACCCCGACATGACCGTTAAACTATTAAACTTTTTGGTTTCCCTGTGACATGCGCAATCATGACGTTGAGATCCATCATGGCAAAAGCTAGAAAATGACACCTTGATCTCCCATATTATCATAATTTTTCGTATTAAAAAAAAAATTAGTTTGACACCAATTGGATTTTTGAAAGATTATAGGAAGGTGCGTTTTCCCACATCCTTGAACTGGCGCTAGGCGGATAATTCATTTATGGATTTTACGTCGCGGGGTAAGTTAGGCTTTTCCAGGCTACGGTATGTAGTGCGGTGAAGGTAACTGAACCGGCTCGTAGGCCTTGGGGAATTGGCTTGGCCCCCTTGAGGTGAAATTTTATATTATTTTTTATCTTCCAAAATTTTTGATCAAAAATTACAAATTTAGTTTTATCCTGTAAAGGAATAATTTGTGCTGATTTGAAGATGCATTTATTTATTCTGACTGTTGAATTAGTATTTTTAAAATTCTTTCCAAAATTATTGATAAAAATTAATGAGAAAAAAAAATTAATTAAAATAATTAATTTGTTTTCTATTTTAAAAATTTCACAACACTATATACAGGCCTCGAATTTTACGGTGGCCACTGCCGACGGTGCCCTCTCAGTTGGCCTTGGTGCCCCTGAAAATGAAGCACGATGACGGCCACTACTTGCCTGCCCTTTTGCAGCCTTGCCCGGTGCCCTCACGACGCTTATTACAGATCGTTTGACACGTAAAATAAATCTAAATAAAAAAAGTTCAAATCTTGAAAGAAAACACGAAAGCCAAAAACATAGGTCGCCTGGCAAGCCTAGGCTTAGATATGGTTGCAGTGATAGAACATAAGAGAACTTCCATGTGTGTTGTGAACTTTTTTTTCAGTTACCGTTGTGTGCGCATGCATAAACATGTAGTTGTAAACATGTGCTTACTGTGCAGTTAGCTTTGGGCGATCTGACGTCATCGCAACTCAAGCTTGTGAAATTAACCTAATTGGTTGACACTCGGCTGATGATGGCCAGTTTAGAGGTGTGGCCTCCTGGGTCATTCCGTGTCAAATCAACCAATTTCAAAAAAGTTCCAGTATGACCCTCTCAGATTTTGATGAAACTCCATAAAAATGATCCACTATGTGAAAAACCAACAATTAAAAAAAATTAGTGTTACAGGTTTTGTAGTTTCCAAGATATTGACTCCTCAAAAAAGGGGCGTGGCCCTTCAAGATGCGCAAACACAATTTCCTCCAACTTTGGAAGCTTATAACTCTGGACGCAGGGTTCCCGGAACGCCGCCCTCAGCGGCGTGTGCGAAGCACAACAC